CCCCCCCCCCCCCACCACACACACAAAAAAAACAAACACATAAGTTGGTACATCACGGCAGAAAGAGAGTAATACATTCATGGAACAAGGGTTGAACCCTTGTAAGCCCAAATACAGCCAAGCTATAGTCTTTGTACCAGATTATTCAACCAAAGTGTGATCTCCTAGAATTGATGCCAGTGCTTGGGGTTTAGAAGCTAATATAGGTGTGGGGGGCCTCCTATCCTTAAAACATTCAGTCAGGTTCAATGACATATAACAAAGAAACATATAGGACGTCGGCCAACTGTGTTTGTCCGCACCCCTCAGGTTATGAATCTCTAGAAATTAATGTGTTGTTCGGTTGTCATCAGAACAAACAGCACAAATTACTCTGAACCACAATGAACATGGCCCAAGAGCTCATGGACTAGTACAAGCCAGAGGCACCCATATGTAAAAAGACTGATACCCAGGGACATCCTTACCTGCTTCCAGGGTAGGATATAGTGCTTGGGATTAATCCCCTTCCATGAAGTGAAAACTCGAAAATTGTCACTTGCACTGGAGGAAAATCCCGATAATGGCTTGAAAATAACATCATACTCAACTCAACTCAACTCAACACAACAAATCTTTTTCCAATGTAATAGAGGAGATTCTAGGCTGGCGAGTCTCATCCTAAATCTTTAACATGGTATCTAGGTTCCTAGTTGGCTTTGAATTAAGCATAATGAGAGATCTAAACACATTAATAAACCAATGCGATATGGTAGCAAATGAGGGGGGCCGGTAACTCAGGCCTTGAAATTGATACCCCAGTACACTTCCAGCATATGAACTCACTATCCTAAAGGACAGGTTTTTGAATGCAGAATGCCCAATTGGGAAACAAGCTCACTGTTGCAGATGCAATCTTAATAACCCCAGGACCCGAGAATGGTACTAAGGGAGAAAAAATAAAAGAAAATGGGAAACAAAAACAAAAAACATTGTACCGTGCCTCTTAACTTGATCGGGAGTACTCTCAAGGCAATGAACCATAAACAACATAAGTCGTTTTGGCTCAAAAAAGAAAAAAATAAACCTCCCCTGGTTTAGTCAACCC